GTAGGTAAATTAACTCCAGTTCCTGAAGGATTTAAGGCATAATGAACAAGGTGACAATCTGACAGTGTCACTGCTCTGCTTAAGATCCTTCAAGGGCATTCCTTACTAGAAATCAAGTCAAATGAGGTGGCATGGAATAAAGAAAGCTCTCTCTAACCTGACCCTACCTAAATTTTCAGAGCCATCTCCAAAACTCCAGATCTTAAATTTTATGCTCTGAAGCTAGAAACTCTGTAGTTTCTTCACCCAGACACCATGACATGGCCTACCTCCTCACCCTTGCTCATGCTGCACTGCTCCTCTGTTCTTCCTGTTCCTCCCATTCACCTTCATGTCTCACTGTGAGCATTGTCTCTTCCCTGAACCCAGGTTCTGTGCAGCAGCCCAAAGCAAGTAGGAATGTCTCATTTGGTGCATTAATTGTCCTTTCTTGACATTACCTGCTTATATCTGTCTCCCTCTACTAAGCACAAGGTCTTCTAAAGCAGGAACTATACTTGACTCATTATCTTTGTGTCTTGGCACAGTCCTTGAAAGTTGTCTGATTTCAGTATTTATCTATTTCCATGGATTAAATATCTGGGTCTCCCCAAAGTTCATGTGTTTAAATCCTAACAGCAAGATGATGATACTTGTAGTTGAGCCTTTTGGGAAAGCACTAGGTCATGGGGGTGAAGCCCTCATGATAGGATTAGTGCCCTCATAAAAGAGAACCCTGAGAGCCCTCTAATGGGAAGGTAGCAGCTACAAACAGGAGGAAGTCCTCACTAGGTCCTTTCCGTGCTGCACCCTGATCTCAAACTTGCAGCCCCCATAACTACGGGAAATACATTGGTGTTTTCTAATCTAACCAATCTATGACACTTTGTCATAACAATCTTATCTAAAGCACTGTTGATCTAAATGCCACCAGATTTTAGAGCTCCAAGAGATTAGCTCATTCAGTCAATTATTTATTCCAGACTTTCTTATTGAGTGCAATATTTTAATGCCAATGACTGTTCCAGGTGCTGGGGAAATACTGAATTAGATCAGACTTTATCCTCATGGGTTCACATTTTAAAAAAGTCACGTTGACAGTGTCACATGAACAACAAAGGCAATAAACAAAGGAATGACTGAGGCTGAGTGGATGGTGATCCTTACTTTAGCAAATATAAGAGAAGTTGGGCAAATCTTAGAATTTTTTTTTTTTTCCTGAGAGTGACTTTTCACATGGGAAATATAGAGATATGCAGGCTCTTGTATTCATAAACTGTTTATAGGATACATTAGATAAACATTAGTAATGACCATAGCAAGTTAACTATTATCATAAATGCTGTTTGGCTTATGCACGTCATTTCCCTTGTTCTTATGAAACATGCAACAGAGGTCTGATGGTCTCTACATTAAAGGCTAAGAAACAGACATAACAGATCAATGGCTTATCTCGGGACACAAAGCCTGTGATAAAACTGCTATTTCTACGCAAGTCTTTGGTTTTAAACCAAATATTCTTTTCATTGTACTATGATGCCTCCCTCAAAGGTTTTTCTATCCAGTTCTTTCTAGAGAAGATTCCAACCTATTTCTCTTAGCCTTGCTGAGGCCCATATGTAATATTTCCCTCATATTAGACAGCTGAGGTGGGGGGTCTTGAAAAATTCAACTATTGGCACGACAAGATGTTCTTCAGTCATCTCAGGAGAGTTAAGTGGTCAGTGGGGCCTAAGAGGATTTATCTAATAAAAAAATTTATTAATTTATAAACATGTTATTTCACTCAGCAAATATTTATTGAAGCCCGCTAAGTACCAGGAACCATTTTGGGAACTAAGGACACAACAAGAACAAAAATAAGACAGTTAAAATAAAACAGGAAAACATGAAGGGGAACCAGATGCTGACTTTGTGGTATTCTAGGGGACATGAATCCTGTATTTGTAGTGAGGGTGTGCAGAGAACCACAATAGTTTGATGACAACTTGGACACTGTTGTAGTTAATATGTGCGAACATGGGTCGAATCCATGGTTATTTTAGTTCCATTTCGGAGTAAAGTAGCTACAGTTCCAAAGATAAAACCTATTCACACTTCAGACAAATAAAACAGAATAAAACAGAAATCCCATTGTTCTTTCACCATGTCCCCAACTTGATGGACATGACACTTAAAAGCACTCAGTTCATCGCAGGGCAATGTACAGACACACAGCAAGAGAGGCTAGAAAATGGCAGAAAGAGAGGTATGGAAAGGGAGACAGCATTGTACAATGAAAGGAGAGGCTGTCCTGAGTTAAACAGTCCAGGTGGGAAATTGGGCTTGATCCAGGAGCTAAATCCCAACACAACTGGAAGCTCTATCTGTCAATTTGTCAAAGATAAATACTAAGAATAAGAGAATTTTCCAGACTTGCTCAGACAAATGAATTGTAATGATAAAATGGAAAAAAAAATAATATGCCAGCACTTCATTTGGCTTCAAGTAATGCTCAAGCACTCAGGTAAAAGAAGATTCCCCCCCACCCGGTCCCCCATCCCTCACCAAGACAGCCATGCTGCTAATGTAAAGCAGAGATCCGCGGGACTTGAAGTTCTCATTTTTTGCCTATGTTTCCCTCAATATTTTGAATACTCCTTTTTTCTAACTTGCATTGAGTTCAAATGCAGATGTGTGCTGTTAGCTAAAAGGTGGGAATTTTTCAAATTACTAATTAAGGTCGATTTCTATTATGGACACTGATTTTCAGAAAAGGCTTTAACTTTTGAGATATTAGATGACACTTCTGATAGACTTTTTAAAAATGATTTTTAGTTGTTGRTGGATCTTTATTTTATTTATTTATATGCCGTGCTGAGAATCGAACCTAGTGCCTCCCACATGCTAGGCAAGCGCTCAACCACGGAGCCACAACTCCAGCCCCTCTGATAGAATTTTGTAGCTTCCTGCTCTCAGCCTGAGCCGTGTGTGTGTGTGTGTGTGTGTGTGTGTGTGTGTGTGCGCACGCGCAAGCAGATTTTATTTCCTCTAGGTTGCACAGGGATAAAGCTATCAGACACATCTTGTGTTTTTCTGAGTCTTGTTTCAAAATGTTCAGGGGCATCCTTCCTGATGAATTGATAAAAGATTTGGGATTGGGACATGGATCGTTTACTTCAAAACATAAAATAGAGGGATGATTCAATGTTACTGTATAGTGAGGAATTCAGCCTTCCAAGTTATCCAAAATCCCCTCCAGGAAAATGCCCAGCTCAGTGCTGCTGCACTATCCCGTGAACGAGCATCACGTGGCCCCCATGCTTCAGTCACTCTGAGCTCCGAGATCTGAAATGGGAATGTAGCAACCATTTTTTTGTTTTTCTGGTGAAAGTGCAATTCCAAGGTAGTGTGTTTAAGAACCTTTCAGGGTTTGTTAGACATTGAGTAGTTTATACCTTTATTCTATTGAAATAGGAGTAAATCCCAGGGAAGATGCGCTCTATGCCTACCATAATTTTTTCAGAAATGACAGTGGAGTCCCTGAAGCCAGCAGAAGCTGAGAAAGGAAAGCAGTCTTCTTTGGATTCTCCTCTTAATTCGTCCTTCAGATGGAGAACAATACAAAGCTATAATTGGATTTCTCCCTCCTTTGTCATTCTCTCCTTTCCACCCCTTCCTCTCAAATCACACATGGTTTATTGCAACAAGGCCCAGCTCAAATGTCACTTCCTCTCTAAAACTGACTCCCACCTAAAATTTATCTGTTTCCTCCACTCAATCAGAGCATTTAGTCTGTGGCACCGAACACATGGTGTCTTACGCTGTAATTATTTACTTACTGATCTCATCTCTCTTCCTAGATGATAACGTTTTCCACCATGGAGACCAAGGCTTGTGAGGAACCATCCAGTTTTGTTACAGCACATTAAATAAGCACATCAGTGCTTATTTGATAAATTAGGCCATCCAGTAATTCCTGAGTGTGTACCTCCTGTGTGCCAAACAAACCAGACATAATTCCTGTCCTGACCTGGCTCACAGTTCAGTAGCAGGAATGAGCCCATGTACAGTGTCACCTCATATATATCTGCTATTTGACAAACTTCAAATACCCATAATAAGAATAAACCATATGCCCTGAGAGGAAGCTCATAAGATGTCACAAGGGATCTTTATCTATAAGAAGGAACACTGTTAGCTTTTCAAGGAATTTCCCTGGGGAAATGGTATAGATATCTTAGGCCATCAGGCTTAGCTTAGATTAAACAAAATGTACAGTGTACTGCTCTGATGACACAGTCTTCTGAAAGAACTCTACCAAATCAAGTCTGATTCTTTTTGCCTCCACAATTGACCTTAGAGATTGAACTTACACTTGACTGAAGCTCCTTTGCTCTCAGACAGAGGTCTCAACACATCAGCTACAATGGTAATAAATGAGTAATGGCAAAGCCTCACTGCTTTCTCACAGCTATTGCTACGAGCTTTCAGGAAAGAAAAAGAAAAGACAGAAAAGCCAGTTTTTTGAGCCTTAATGTTACATTCTGAGAATTTTCCTTCATCTCAAATAATGAGATGCTTGGGAATGCCAGACTTGGCGAAGGTAAAATAATGCATATGTTATATTTTGGGCAAAGCACACAGCCACACAAATTGAACCACTTTTAGCTAAAGAATCTCTACCTGCCAAGTGGAAAGCACAAAATCAAACTTCACATATGTCTAGTTCCTTGTGATTTCACAGACCTTTCCTCTGTGTTACTGCATTTAATGTATAAAGCACAACCACTTATGGGATAAGATTCTCTGCTAGTTAGATGAGGAAACAGAGCCACAGAGTATTCAAGTGGCAAACCCAAAGTCATCCAAGCAGTTTAAGCCAGGATGAAAAGGCAGGACCCCTGCTTCCCAGTCCAATGTCTTTTCTGCCTCAACCTCTCATCTCATAGAAGATGAGAGGTGCAGTCATTGATCTAGCAATCTCATTCATTCTTAAACAGTTGCACAGCACATTATAAATAGAGTTGTGGGAATTTTACCTCCTTAAGGCAGCCCATGAAGTTGTTGCTCACAGGTGAGCCCGGCAAGTCAGCGGTACTTGGGCTTCCTCCCACATAGAAGAAATCATCCGAGCCCAGCATAGTGTAGTCTTCCTGCGTATAGCCCGTCGTGGTAAGAATGCCATCCACAGAGATTGTCACCTGGTGGTAGGACATAGGGACAAAAAAAATCCCAGCAATGACCGTAGAGTCCTGTCAAAACCTAATGGCTTCCCCTATTTGTGGCATCACTTTTATTAAGATTTTAGTGAGGTATTTGTTCTAATTTGGTTTGATTTGGGTATGTGCAGCTAAGTTCCATTTTCTGGTCTGCCTCCCTGTGTCCCAAGCCTACAGTATTCCCCTGCAGACCCATGGGAGATGGGCTACAATTGCCAAGCGGAACACCTTGTTCTACCCATTGCACACTTTATTCAGGCTAGAAAATGGAACCATCCTCAGACGATATCACTTGTCTCAGTTTCATTACTAATGATCGTTATTTTTTTTTAGATGATTGTTATTTATGATGTTAATGGAAAACAGCAAAGGAGACATTAGACAATGACGTTTGTTAGGGGTTGGTCTTTGGTTGTGGATTTTTTTTTTTTTTTTCCTTTTTTCTTTTCTTTTTTATTTGTTTCTTTTTTGGCTCACACCACACTGACAAACATGCATTCAGAAAGGGGAAAAAAAAGAGGGTCTCTATTTTGATGTGTCAGGGATGATGCATGCCATGGAGTACCCAACCCCTGCCCTCCCTCCTCTGCCATCACCACCACCAACAGAAGAAATGACCCAAACCAAAAAGCCAACTCTAACAAAAAGAAAGGAATGGTGAGGCATGATAACCAAAATAATAATGCCCATGGGGAAAATATAGCACCCACACACCCAACATCCACGAAAGGAGCAGAGGGCGGAGAAAGATGGCACCCAAAGCGTGGACACACCATACGCTGCCACACCCATGCGGGAATTATCTGGAGCCAAGAGAGAAGGCAGAAAAACAAAAGTAGGGATGTGGGAAGGGGTGGAGAGAAATGAAGGAATTAAAATCCACTTCACACTTGCATGCACTGAACAAACAACAAAAAGATGAAGTGGGGGTGGGGGAGAAAACACTGAAAACTAAAGGGAAATCATCTTTCCCCTGCCTGCCACACCTCCCTCACTTAAAAAAAAAGAAAGAAAGGAAGAAAGAAAAGGAAGAAAAAAAGAAAAGAAAAAGTCCAAACCCAACCCCAAAATATATGAAGAATGAGAGAATGAAAATAGGGAGGGAAGAAWAGAGAAGAAAGTGGCATGAGGCTGATGGTCGGTAGGTTGTTAGTAATGAGGAGGCAAATGAGAAACAAATTCTGATGCCGATGGGATTCCACGAGACAGGACCATGCCATGCAGAGTTTGTATGGAGAACACAACTGGCAGAGCTCCCTTTGGCCACAGTGGGGAACAGGTAAGAGAAGGGAAAGGAAGAGTCTAGGAGGCAGAGTACTTTCCTCCCCAGATCACCTGTGGTGGCCATGGCCACCCAAAAGGGCAAGAGAGAAGGGATTGAGGAGTGGGCAGGAGAAAAAAAGGAAGGAGGAAGAGAGGGAGAGGAAGACACGGAGAGCAGAAAAGTTCTCACTAGAAATCTCAGTTGACCCTCGTCCATAACTTGGAAGTTGCAAAATAAGAAAACAAAATAAAAAAAATTAACTGAATGGAGAAATTCTTTACCAAAAAAAAATAAAATAAAAAATACTTCTAGGGGAAAAAAAAAAACCCTAAAAAGTGGAGGAAGGGAAAAACAGTCCCCACCAAATTCCATCAAATAGCATTTCCAGGACAGGGGCGTCCCCTTCCATTATTATTATTTTTTTTAAGAAAAAGAAAGGCTTGCATTTAATTTAACAAAAAAAAAAATAAAAAAAAAGAAAAAATAAGTCTAAAGAGGATAAAAGAGGGGTTTGGGGAGGAAAAGGGGGGCAACACACGGCAAACCCAAAAAAAGAGACAATAAGAATGATATCTACCAGACAATGTAGTTTGTTTACCATAGCGTGTCCGATGCCTGAGTGCTTTGCGGAGAAGGGGGAAGAAAGGAAATTAAAAATTGTGAACAGAACGATTGTTAATTAAAAAAACTAAAAACAAAGATGAGTCGTTAGGGTGTTAGTACATTAGTCGGTTAGTAAATGACACATTGCATGAATGATCTTGTGTTAGTTTTTCAAAAAAAAGGCACCCAACACAGAAAGAGAGAGTGGGGGAGACAATGAGACCAGGACTCTATGGAAAACCTTGCCACCCGGTCAYAGCCAGGAAGGGAGCTATGGTCCACCAGCCATAGCAACTGCCCAGATACCACTTGGCCCACCCCASCCCTGTTAGAGTTCGCTTCATACTTACGTCCCAACGGCTCTTCTGAAATACCACCTATGGTCCCTGCCCACCCTCTAGTGTGTGTATGAAGAATCTGGGTAAACTTTGATTCTTCATACACACACACCTGGTCTGAAGAATCAAAGTTTACCCAAAAAGCTTATCATTYCATATGTAGATAAACAGAGAGAAAGAACTGAATACCAATATGTTGGTGTTTGGTTTTTGCTTTTTCACATGAATCTGATTACGTGGATGGASTACCGGATGACATTCTCCTGCAATAATTTACACATTCACAGACCAAACCTAGCAGAGAAAGCTCCTTGGCAAGGCATACTCTAGATTCTCTAGGTAACTTAAAGATCCATGGCCCCCTTGATTTTTTTGGATTTTAGCAGCCAGAGGGGAATGTTCTCCTTTTTCCTTTACTCTCAGTTTCAGATAACTGTCATTAGAATGCATCAGAAATGTTAGTCTTGWTTATTATCCAATGAGGGCATCATCTTGTTTACTTTGCAGGATGCTATCCTGTTGGAATCAYTATCCCTCATTCCCCCTGAATACAGCTTTTCAGTTGTTAAGCAGTTTCTTGCATGGAGAGTAGGGAGTATGGCAGGTTCAACATGGTTAGAGAACCCACAATTAGACTCTTTTTGCTCATTTCAATTGCTGAGTTGCCAGAACACCCTGAGYTCAGAGGTTAGAAGGATGGCAGACTGTAACCCTGATTCTGTATTCGAGGTTTAACAAAAGTGGCCCCCAGAGGTAAAATGATTAATGGGATGGGTGTGACCTTGGACTCAGGCAAGTTAGAGGGTAAACCCTCTTCTATGTGCACATGAATGTYGCAGTAGCTCAGTCTCTAGTTCCAGTTTCAATTTAGAGAACAATTAGGAACATTCCACATTCCTTTTTTCTATAGGAAGCCCCAGTGAAGTACCTGGTTTGGCTCTGAGTCGCCTGAATGGCAGAACCATGAATTGATGTCCACAAAGGAAGAAATGAGAAGATTCTTCCCTGTTTGGTAATGAATACTTAAAAAAACTCCATGTAAATTTTCCTCATATAAATTTTTGCCTCAGAAGCCATTTGCTCTCACCTCTAAAAGTGCATGAGGCTGCCATAAGCTTGTTATCAAATATTTATGAAGCTATTTACAATCTATTCAAAATAGACTGGGACTTCCCACTCAATTTTGTCCTAAAGAACTCAAAAAAGATGTTATAARTATTTTTAATGGGAAAAATAATAATTTTATATTACTCAGCCCTGGAAGGATTTTATTTGCAAGATCAACTCTGTTTTTCAGAGATTTTCCTTTCTTTGCACAAATTGTATTTGGATGCAAAACACAATCAGGATTTCAATGAGGTCCAATTTTAGGGGTATTTTTTCACATAAGAGTACTAGTCTCTCTGTCAAGAATTACCCCAGAACCCCAGGACCTCTTAGACCTTGTCCAGAACGAAGAGCTCTATTAACTATATTCTTGGCACCAGAGAGAAGCAGTCACCTCTGGGACAGAATGCTYAGCCTGTAAATCATCCACACGTCACCACGAGTCTAGCACCCAGCCCATGGATGAGCTCATAATCCTTCTGGAACATAAGGTGCTTTGCATATTTAGCCACCACACATGGCTGGGGAGCATTGCAATCAGCATTTTACAAATGGAAACTGTGCTGCAGGGAGGTTAAGTGGCTTGTCCAAGGGCACAGAGAGGAGATGAGCCTTAGATGTTGGAGCAGAGCACAAACCTTCCAGGGTGGTTTCCTCAGATTGCTCTAAGACATCACAACCAATATTTGAATTAAACTCTKATTTATCCCCTCTAGTTTAAAGGATTTAATTGGGGACTGATGCTATTTAGAACCGTGATTTTTAGCAGAAACAAAACTGAGCCTTTCTCAGGCAGACTGGAATTATTCTAGAATAGCTGGGAAGTRTGTGGAGAGAGACAAATGACTTGGCGAGAACTGTGACCTGATACCGTTCCCAGTATATCAAAAGTTTCCCCTCCACTAATGACTAAAGGGTGTTATTCTGTACCTGCCAATCAAAACTGGCAAAAGGTCATATTTCATTTTTGGTCTATTCTCTACAGCTCAGACATATTAAGTCCTTCTATGTCAGCAAATAGAAATTTGACTTATGTTCTCTTGACAGTTGAGAAGTTCTCTTCTAGGTAACTATGGAGAGAGTCATGGAGGAAAACATCAACAATAGGTTCTTTGGCCTTGGAAGGAAAACACAGGAGAATGACTCCAAAGAGTCAAATTCACWTATGTTGAGAGGGTTGGGGATTCCSAGCCTTGCATTAATTAGCACCTTCACCACAGATAGAATGGAATCTCCCAACCAGGTGGCTTCCTTGACACACCTAAACGTGGAAATGGAGAGTACTTTGACAATTGGGCTTTTCCAATGTGTGCCAGCCATTTGTCTAGCATTACTTAGGAGTCACGCTTTTATCAGACAGAAAACATATGCAAACACCTGTCATGTCTTTTGCTTTCATGTTTACATGTGAAGGCATTAAATCAATCATAATGCTGGAGAAAAATTTGATAAGCACTTTCTGGAAATTTGCACATAATGTTTTCTGATTAATAAAGGATGAATGCTGACCAACTGGGTTTTGTTTGACAGATTCACAAGTAGAAAAAAAAGGAAGTGAAAAGAGGAACAAGGAAAAGGCGATCTCAGCACAGACCTTGACTCTTACAGGAAATGCTTGTCTTTTATGGATGTTTGCTGATAAGGTAATGTTATTAGTAGTAGCAGTTAGGACATTGAAAACATCTTCACTTGACTCAGGCTTTCTGAAAGCGTCATCACCTGACGGAGTGGCCTGCTTAGAATCGGCAAGCCATGGGAGTTCTCAAAGCACGGACAGGGTCAGGAAGGCTGCTCCAGGGTTGGCATTTTTATTTGGATCTTTCCACTTCCCAGTCCTTCCAACTGAAGAGTCTTGGAGGTAGATACAGGGCAAATAAAGGTAGGACCACCACATTGCATCAAGGAACAGAGAAACAGGAATTCAGAAAGATCCCAGCTAGTTAATTTGAAAGCCAGAGATTAATGTCACAACTGGGGGGTGGGGGGTAGGGATGATAAATTAAAAGGAGGAGGGAGAAAAAAAAGTGTTTTTTTTTTTTCTGGAGGAAATTAAAATGATGGCATCATGGCAATGGCTAACTTAATTAAAAAGAAAAACATATTCAAAGAATGAGGAAAATCCATCAAGCTGCAGAAACAAAATGCTATCCCTAATTGAATTTAACAATAGCATGATAAGATTCAAATGTAATTAAGAAAATGATAAAAAGGAAAGCAGAATTAAAAGGATGAAAGTACTTATCATTTTTATTATCTGTACAACTGATTTTTTTTTTTAAATAACAAGAACAAATGGAGAATTGAAGACTCGGGAGAAACACATTGTAATCGTTTTCCTCGTGGAATTGCAAAGACTGGAAAAAAGTTAGTTTTTAATATATCCAAACCCACATCTCTACCCCTCTGCACCTCCCCAGTCACCTGCTTCACCAGCSTTCTACCTAAGATGGGCCTCCCGGGCACTCTCTCCCCTCAGCCATTACCTGCCGGAGGTTGCGTGTCACTTTGACATCATGCCAGGCGTTGTCGTTGAACTTCCCATTCACTGGCTCCACAATGGCCTCAAAGGCCCCGGACCCCAGGTTAATGACCAAGGAGACCGCACCATCCTTCAGAGCCAGGTTGACATAGTCAGCCGACTTGCCCGTGTGCAGGATGAGCCCGTTGCGCTGCCAGGTCTTGAAGGAGAGGGTGATTTCGTCACTGCTGCTCTGGATCGGGTTCTGAGACAGGTCATAGCACAGGTATTCTGAGCCTCGGAAAGTGGCCACATTCTCCTCTCGAGCTGTCAGAAACAAAAAGCAGAAAGCAGTCAATCCTTGACGGACAAGTGTCGGATCTATGCAACCACCAAGGAGAACACAGCCCAAGAACACTAACCCCTGTCCTTGCACTGATACCAACTCAGCAACCACCCTGGCTTCTACATGAATATCAGCAAACCTAGTAGAGCAGCTGGTGGGGGAGAAACTGTGTGTCAAAACAAGGGTAGAAGACAGGCAAGATGAGATGGTGCAAGGGAGCTTGCTSCCTTCTCTTCCAATCTTCTCAAAGAAACACCTAAAGAGAAATTTCATGCAAAGTAGTCAAGTGAGGCTTACATTGCTTTTGCTTCAGTGATGGCTTTTAAATGCTTGTAGAGGAGCTGGTTTAGAATAGATAATTAACTGTGCTGACAAAGGACTCTCTAGCTCTAGGTACTTTTTATTGACCAATAACTAAAAATCAATTACCCTGAAAGATTTGGCCCTGGCTTCCATCTATCAATAAACCCAGCTAACTTTGGTTTCTATGGTAAAATCCTGAGCCCCGTGAGTTGTGGCTGAGATATTATATAGGAGGTTGAACATGAGAAGGGGACCAGGCAGTTGAGGAAAGGGGAAGAGAATGAAATTGTTAATATTCTTTAGCAAGACAGTGATAACACTCTTAAACTCAAGCAAAAGGAATTTCTGCTTGTTCGGGGATCTCCTTTTAAATGGCCCTGGCTGGACATTTCCATGGCCACAACCCTCCGCCAAAATTAGGGGTTCATAGATGGCATTTCAGGGGAACCTATACTCTCTTTTGAGATCACATTTCAGACACTGAGATCCTGTAATTCTCAGCCTCCAAATCCCCAAGCCTATTTATATAGGCCTCTTCTCTGGCTTCATCTTTCTGTAGGCATACCAGGGTACCAACATCAATACCTCAAGGTTTATAAGGGGAGATGTGGGAGACTATGTGCAAGAGTGTGGATGGAGTTTGATCCTGTAGGCTGGGTTATCCACATGCATTTTGACTAGACCCCTTGTGATAAAGGACAGAGCTAAAGGTGGAAAGAGAAGGTGGGTGGCCAACTGACTGAGGAGCAAGAAGAGACTGATTCTCTGTGCAATGCTATCTCTTATAAGCAAAACTCTGAAGATTCCAAAAGTTCCCATTTCTGGAACCTGGTCTTCCAGGGAGTTACAAAAGTAAATTTGACAAAGTAAGAGAATAGGGATATGATTAATCATTTGTTTATTTGACTTATAATTTTGTTATACAGAACAGGAAGTACAATTTCCCTTCTTGCTGGTTAGCCTCACTTAGGTTCACTACTTCGTACTAAGGTTGGTCAAAAGCTATCGAGAAGCACCTTGTTAATGGGAAAAAAAATGGCAACAATAGAAGTCTATATATGCAGATTTCCTTCTACAAAGTGAGGTTGAAAGAATTCTATTTTCCCTGCCAGAACTACATTTCAGTACTATTAACCAAAGCCAAGTTCCCTCAGCTCAGATCCCTATCAACCATCACAGCCCTACATCAAATACTTAAGAAAAATAAAATAYATATTTTTTCATCACAAAGTAAGAACTGCAATCACTGTTTATGTGGAGATACAACCACTCATTACATATTGTTAAATTAATCATGGTATCATGACACCATTAAAACATGGACCTCAACTTCATACTCCAGAGGGTTAAAAAAGAAGATGAATTTCTTCTGCATGTTCCAGAGGATCTCAGTGGTACATACCTGCATACTCTGTTTATACACACACATACACTGGCATAAGCAAAGGGGCCTATTTACCTCTAACTAACTGCAGTCTAGCTTCTCCATGTATTCAAGAACAAGTACTACTTAGCACCTAACTCATGTCTGATGTGTTTTATCAAAAGTAGCACCCCCAATCATAAAGTAGAAATTCAACACCGTCTGCATATTTGAAATAGATCCATCTAATCCTCTACTACCCTGTCTATCATCGTGATCTCTCCTCTCATTTCTTAAGAAATGGCTTTGCTAAAATGCAATGGGACATCAGACCTGGAGCTGAACTAGAGTACATGACAAATTAATGCAGTTATCACAGCTAAGCTCTTTTCCTAGAGTCATGGACTTGCACAGAGTCTGTGTGAATTCTTAATACTACAAAAGTTATACTGGTGGTCATCTTCTATATGTATCTCAGTTACACCTGTGGGCCCACTGAAGTAAATGAGCAAGGAGAGGAGTGCCTGTGAAGAGAAGCTTACATTAATTATCGAGCCTCTTGAAAAGGGAAGGCTTGACACAAAACAGCAAGACACCAGGAAATTATTTAATGTGCTATGTGATGCTTAATATTTTTCACATAATTAGAGCATGGGGTATGTCAAAATAATAAATTTTAGTGTTACAAGGGATTTTAAGGATTGTCTAATGTAATGCTTTTATTTTATTAAGGAAGAAATTGATGACTGGGAATGAGTTGCCCGAGATGATCCAGTCAGTTTGTGGTACTCCAGACTTGAAGCATCTCTGGACTTATCTAAACAGCAGTTACGGGTCCCTCCACCATCACTCTGGATATTCCCTTGCTCCCATTCTACTTCTCCAAGGCTATGTGTGAATGATTCCACAGAGCCGTGGGCTTACAAACTATCTGAGAGCTTGGATAAATGAAGCCAGAAATAAATGCCTCTCTTCCTGTATAAATCACACTTCCTCACCATAAGAAATATTTCCCTTTCCCTCTGTGTTTAAAATAAAAGAACTTGTTTTATATGGAAGATTATAGGAAAAAATAAATGACATCAACACAGAGGAGGATATCACAATAAATAAATAAGATATTAAAAAGAACAATGAGGAAAGGAAACTGTCTATGCAAATTACATGCATATTTATGCTAATATCCATGCAAATATACCAAAGAAAATTTTATGTAGCCAAGTGCCTTCCTTTGCAAGTATCTAACAGAAACAGCTAAAACAGTTCACAGCCTTCTTAATCTCTCCATTCAATGATTCATTTTCTCAGTTTATCTGTTCCCTGGGCCAGAGATGACCAGGCATTACCTACCAGGAGCTGTCCTTCCTCAGTTTCCTCAAACAACTGAAAAGTCCTCTCTGATTCACATTTTAGATGAGCAAACTTATTTCCTTTTTAATTTCTGGGATAATTTCCTCCTGAGTATTAGGAAGAGAGACTCAGCAAGGCAGGACCCAGTCTCAGGAAATAAATAAAGGGCTACAAGGGAGAAAGAAGAAAGACCTTGAAGAAATTATTCTTTTGGACACTCACATCTGACATACTTTTTCTCCGAAGATCCCAACCTATCTCAATTTCCTTCAAGCAGCTGAGCCTCGGGCACTTTCTTATCACTTTGAAAACCATACTAAGTTGACAGTCAACATAACCAAAAGGGGAAAACCATATAATGACAGGTACACATTTCTAAACCCATTCAATTCTCCAAACCCTCCATTAGAAAAAAAAAAATGTAATAGTGCCCCAAATCTATTTTTTTTACATGGTGTTGACACTGAGAAGGAGGTTGAAAATACAATGCAGTCACCTTGTATGTATTCAGGCTAAATAGCTAGAGAAGATGAATGCAGGGGGTTATGTAACACAGTGCACAAAAGCTTAGCATACATCTATGGCTTGGCAAGAGAGACAGAAGGCACTGACACAGCTAATGGATTCTTAGCTTCCTTCAAATTAGATCACCCCAAAGTTTACAATCAATTGCATGTAAAAATAAGAACGCYATTCTCACTGCATGAGAAACAGAGCTCAACTCCATATGACAACAAATCATTTACCCATTATTTGTAAGTGTCCAATTGATAAACAGTGGATGTAATCTAGATATGTATAATTCAGAGATTTTTAAATTAGTATGTATAAGATATGTAAAGTACTGATTTTTCAAATGGCTTGCTAATTGAAGTACTGATATATATGTAACATTAAGACATTTACTCAAAWTTTTTTTTCTCCAATCTTCCCCCCAATAAACAGCCAACTACTGATTTATATAATGATAGCTGCATTTTTCTGAGAAGTTTCAAAGTAGAGTAAAATATTCAGTGTAATATGTTCTTACTGTGTAATATAAAAAGTGTGGGCATCTGATTCCTGGGGGCTTGGTATTGTAAGGACCCAAACAATGTTTGAGATCAGGAAATTTGGATTTTATGTTGAAGGTTATGAAGAATCATTGCATAATTTTACTGAGAAGAATCCAAGATTATGTAATTCTTTAAAAACACACTTGAACCCCTTTTCTAGGATGTTCCCGGGATTGTTCAGCCTGAATGTTGATAYGATTTCTGGAGTGAGGTTTACATTTCACTGGGCAGAAATGGAAGCAAAAGATTCCTAACAGAAACAGCCTGAGGAAAGGAGAGGCAGAGATTCTGGCAAGCCAGAAACCACAGGGGGAATCCAAAGTGTGGATGCTTAAGATCAAGTACAAACAAGGAAAACCAAGGACCAGTGGCAAACATTGAAGGAAAAGGACACAGCATTAGACAAAAATGGCTCAAAAYGAGAACATGTCAGGTCCGGCTATAAAAGCACTCTAGGGCCATTTGCAGACATTCACAGCTTTTTAATCCTATCATATATTATTAAATGCTTTCTTAATCATTTTTGGTATTCTTTCAATATTCTGTGAGGTCAGTTTGTTGTAACCAATGTGAGGAAACAGAGGCACATGGAGTCTGGATAGTTTGTCCAATCCACCAGGAGAGCCAGTTCCACATCCTGGGGTCATATTGATTCTTATTTTATTGCTTTTGCTACTCCAACACACCCTCGCTTTACCAGGAGATCAAATCCCCAGTAAAGGTACCTAGTACCCTATATCTGAGGTTCTGGAGCTGCAGGAACTTCAACCTGTCAAAAGATGAATGTCAATAACAAGGAAAGGGGCACCCAGACAGTAGGAACCTAAGCAGGGAAGCAGGGGAGGGGGCTGACTTTGGCTCCAAATTCTCCAGTAGCAGGTTGGAAAAGGTCAGACACTTGGAAGAGCCC